GAGCTGGTCTTGAAACAGGTTTCTGCACTAGGATCCAATTTCTGCATCCATCCACAAACAAAGGTGATGAATGGGAAGAACAAAAGCTCCTTATTGGCTGCAACAAAAGCTCCTTATTGGCTGTTAAAGGGGTGGGGCCATTGAGTCGAAGCATTTCATACCCCATCCCCAGAACAGATTACTGACTCATCTGTTAAAGGGAATATCTCATGTGCAGCAGCTCATGCACATGCAAGAGTTGGGGAAGAGAGACTTTTCATTAGGAGTCAATAATTTGTTATGAATATCTACTTATTTATTTCACAAGGTGCTTAGAGGTCCTGGCATATTTTGCGATATAAATATTTGTCAAATCTAATTTGTAAATCCTGAATAAACTCTCCAGTGATGATGTGACAGCAACCTGGTATCTCAGGACAAATTAATGAAGCAAAAAGAGGGAATTATTGATTTTGGAGATTTTCTGCAGTAAAATAATGGGCTCAATATAGAGAAAATATTCTTATGTTTGATCCATCTTGATATGGGTTGATCAAAGGTCAGATCATCAGAAGGCACAGCCCTTATCAAGTGCGGTCAACTAATTTAGCTTGTATCACTATCAAGCATTTTAAACTTTTATTTTAAAAATTCTTAAATTTTTAAAAACATCTTTATTGAAAGTTCAGAAAGTACATAACTATATGTGCACCAGACGTGGTGAGATGTAAATAAAAGAGAGAGAAAGAAAAAGAGAAACAGAACCTGTGTAGAAGGGAAAATAAAGGTGGAGGGGGGAAAACCCAAAACTGTATATTCTATAAGGTTGTTATTGTAATTCACCAGCTCTTAACCTAATACGGTATTTGTAAGAATGGATTCCAATTATCATTCAATTTGTCCATGGCAAGTCTGCGTTTATAGGCAACTTAATATACAGTATATAATTTTGATTAGGTCTCCTTTAGGCACCAGTGAGATTAGCTGGGCAAACCCAAATGAACTTTAATCCAATTACAGTGTCACAGTTGCTAATATGTCCTCTCTCCAATAGTGGACAAACAGCGAGGACGGGCACACACAAAAATCAAATTAAAACAGGTCGGAAATTATTTAACAGCTCTGAGACCAACTGAGCATAATCATAAATGTGTGGTCTGTAGTTTATGAGGATTGATCACATTTACAGTGCCGTTCTATACACGTCTACTCTGGAGCAGATCATTAAGCAAACAGTCTGTGAGCACCTAGAAAGGAATGCTGTGATCACCAATAGTCAGCATGGATTTCTGAAAAATAAGTCATGTCAGACTAACCTGATCTCGTTTTTTGACAGAATTACAAGCCTGCTAGATGAAGGGAACGCAGTGGATGTAGCCTACCTTGATTTCAGCAAGGCATTTGACAAGGTGCCTCATGATATTCTTGTAAAGAAGCTGGTAAAATGTGGTCTTGACTATGCTACCACTCAGTGGATTTGTAACTGGCTGACTGACCGAACCCAAAGGGTGCTCATCAATGGGTCTTCTTCATCCTGGAGAAGAGTGACTAGTGGGGTGCCACAGGGTTCTGTCTTGGGCCCGGTCTTATTCAACATCTTTATCAACGACTTGGATGATGGACTCAAGGGCATCCTGATCAAATTTGCAGATGACACCAAATTGGGAGGGGTGGCTAACACCCCAGAGGACAGGATCACACTTCAAAACGACCTTGACAGATTAGAGAACTGGGCCAAAACAAACAAGATGAATTTTAACAGGGAGAAATGTAAAGTATTGCACTTGGGCAAAAAAAATGAGAGGCACAAATACAAGATGGGGGACACCTGGCTTGAGAGCAGTACATGTGAAAAGGATCTAGGAGTCTTGGTTGACCACAAACTTGACATGAGCCAACAGTGTGACGCGGCAGCTAAAAAAGCCAATGCAATTCTGGGCTGCATCAATAGGAGTATAGCATCTAGATCAAGGGAAGTAATAGTGCCACTGTATTCTGCTCTGGTCAGACCTCACCTGGAGTACTGTGTCCAGTTCTGGGCACCACAGTTCAAGAAGGACATTGACAAACTGGAACGTGTCCAGAGGAGGGCAACCAAAATGGTCAAAGGCCTGGAAACGATGCCTTATGAGGAACGGCTAAGAGAGCTGGGCATGTTTAGCCTGGAGAAGAGGAGGTTAAGGGGTGATATGATAGCCATGTTCAAATATATAAAAGGATGTCACATAGAGGAGGGAGAAAGGTTGTTTTCTGCTGCTCCAGAGAAGCGGACACGGAGCAATGGATCCAAACTACAAGAAAGAAGATTCCACCTAAACATTAGGAAGAACTTCCTGACAGTAAGAGCTGTTCGACAGTGGAATTTGCTGCCAAGGAGTGTGGTGGAGTCTCCTTCTTTGGAGGTCTTTAAGCAGAGGCTTGACAACCATATGTCAGGAGTGCTCTGATGGTGTTTCCTGCTTGGCAGGGGGTTGGACTCGATGGCCCTTGTGGTCTCTTCCAACTCTATGATTCTATGATTCTATGATTCTATGATACTCAGAAATAAGACCCACTGGGAACAGACCATCCTGTTTTGCCACCTGAGGCGAAATGGGAAGGTGCCACCACTACCCCTCAGCTGCAGCCTCGCTTACCAAGGTCACATGACAGTGGCTGCTTCCAGAGAGATCATGGGGGAGCTTGTGGGGATCTCATGAGAGTTCTGTGAGATCTCACAAGACCTTGGTGGAAGCCACTGCTGCTACTTCTCCTTGCTTCTCCAACAGTGGTGGTAGGGGCAGGAAGGGCACTCACAGGGGCACTGCCCCATGGGATTCTGACACTCAGTGCGGCTGCCTCAGCCCACCTCATGAGCAGGCTGGCCCTGTGACCCACTGAGTTCAATGGAGCATGGTCCCAGGCATCATCATCATCATTTTATTATTATTTATATCCCGCCCATCTGGCTGGGTTTCCTCAGCCATTCTGGACAGCTTACAGTGCATTAAAAAAATGTAAAACATTAGACATCAAAAAATTTCCCGATACAAGGCTGCCTTCAGATGTCTTCTAAAAGTCAGATAGTTACTCATCTCCTTGACATTTGATGGGAGGCCATTCCACAGGGTGCCACTACCGAGAAGGCCCTCTGCCTAGTTCCCCATAACCTCACTTCTTGCAGTGAGGAAACCACCAGAAGGCCCTCGGAACTGGACCTCAGTATCCAGGCTGAACGATGGAGGTGGAGATGTTCCTTCAAGTATACTGGGCCGAGGCCGTTTAGGGCTTTAAAGGTCAGCACCAACACTTTGAATTGTGCTTGGAAACATACTGGGAGCCAATGTAGGTCTTTCAGGACCAGTGTTATATGGTCTTGGCTGCTGCTCCCAGTCACCAGTCTAGCTGCCGCGTTCTGGATTAGTTGTAGTTTCCGAGTTACCTTCAAAGGTAGCCCCATGTAGAGCACATTGCAGTAGTCCAAGCGGGAGATAACGAGAACATGCACCACTCTGGTGAGACAGTCTGCAGGCAGGTAGGGTCTCAGCCTGCGTACCAGATGGAGCTGGTAGACAGCTGCCCTGGACACAGGCAAGTTGGTATAAGACTCCAGACTTAGCATGGTATTTACATTTTATCCAACAAATGAAATATACTGCAAGAATATTTCACTTTCCCCTGCCTATTATAGGTGGTATACATATTAAAGCTTGCAAATCACATGGGAGACATATTCCTAAACAGCCTGGATGGAACAGATAAGTTCCATTGAGTCATCTCTTTACAAGCAAATTTGCATATGTTTGTGTCTTCATGATGAAAGATGCATCAAATGCAAACTATTCATAAAACATCTCTTCCTGTTAGGTAAGACAATGTCACCATTGATGTCATGATTCTTGTTCTTGGCAAACATTATTCTCATGAAAATGTGGGATGGATGCGAGACGTTGTTCCTTCAGATGTATTTTGCTGATGATTTCTTCAAACATCAGCTCCTGGAGATGATATGAACAAGTCTGACAAGGTTTGATAACCTGAAGGTGAGAGCAGTGGGGTGTAGATATACATGCCCTGCAAATCACCTCTGAAATTGGATTTGTCCATATTTCAAAAAGAACTGCTTTCCATATTCTGCTTTGATCTCTTTGCACTTCTTACTTTCGTTACGATTTCTACATCATCATTCTTCATGAACTGGATATAGACTATGTACTGTACAGAAGAAATGATACCAATGTTAAATGTTGACAGCTGCATATCTGTTATTCGGAAGTGGGATAAACCTTTCCCCAGTTTTTTTCTACACCAACTTTCTAAACAATATGGGGCCTGCATCTCCTTGGAAGCCTTAGGCAGATGTAATGGTTCCTCAGATCCAGAACTGAAGAGTGCCATTACGATTTGCTTAACAGGCAAAATTTCACCATCGCCATTCTCTGAGAGAAGTGAAGCTACAAACTGTACATCCCGCACTGCTCCAATGACACTGTTAATGTACAAGAGGCACCATGCTGAGGGACAACAGCAGGAAATGGCTATTGCCCTCATACTCCTCTTTGGAACTTCCCATAGGTATTTTATCAACCATTGTAGAAAACAGGATGCTGAACTCAATGGACATTTGGGTGTATCTAGCAGGAGCCATCTTCTGTTCTTATTTTCTTTCAAGATATTAAACTGGGATGAAGATAAATGTTTGTAACTACTACAGGTCAGGGTTGCATTCCACCAGGATTTTCTGTAGGAAGAGTAGTTTGATCTGCCAAACAAAAATGGCAAATGCAACAGCACCACAGTCGTATTAGGGCAAACTAAAAAGTTCATGAATGCAATGAATGTGTACACTGTTTCATTGTGTAATTATTAGTTTTTTAAATAAAAAAAAATCCCCTCTCAAAGGCTGCCATTTGTATTGCAGTGAAGCATCTCCTGAAATGCCAATAGCAACGCCTCAGGGTGGATTTTTGTGGTGACCAAGATAAATTCAATAAACAATCGTAATAATCAAGGGTCTGGAAACCAAGCCTTATGAGGAACAGTTGAGGGAACTGGGTATGTTTAGCCTGGAAAAAAGAGGAGTCTGAGAGAAGATATGATAGCCATCTTCAAATATCCCAAGGGTTGTCATGTGGAAGATGGAACAAGCTTGCTTTCTCCTGCACCGGACAGTAGGGCCTGAACCAATGGATTCAAGTCGCAAGAAAGGAGATTTCAACTAAACATCGAGAAGAACTTTCTGACAGTAAGAGCTGTTTGGCAGTAGAATGGACCCCCTCAGGAGGTTGTGGACTCTGCTTCATTGGATGTTTTTAAGCAGATGATGGATGCTTTAGTCAAGATTCCTGCCTTGCAATTGGTTGGACTAGATGACCATGGAGTCCCTTCTAACTCTACAATTCTATGATTCTATGGAACTTTCCATTGAATGTATGTCCCTTGGGAGAGGCTGCTGTCCATCAGATCTCAACAGGTGAACCTAGGAAGCTGCCTTATACTGAGTGTTATCATTGGCCTATCTAGCCTAGTATCGTCTACACTTATTGGCAGCAGCATCCTAGGGTTTCAGACAATGAGTAGGTTGGTTACCATCCCGCAATTATAGTTTTAACTAAAAGTTAGGGATATGCATTACCCCTGCTGCAGAACTGAAAAACAAAGTATGTCCAAGACCAAAGAGACTCTTATGATTTGTGGGGCTATTTTGACATCTACCACTTTATAGTACATTAAATTCCATTAACTTTATGAGTTTCTGCTCCTGCATTAATGTCAGTGATACTTTTGCACTTGCTCACCCTCTATTCATCTCATGTTGAGAGGGAGAGAGAAAGAGTTCCTCATTGCTAAAGAGCTTATTAGGAATGAGCGTGGGCCAACAACCATGAGATCCAGCTATTTATGTCCAGATAGGAAAAATTATTGCTGCCACAGAAATGTTCTCAGAACCATTCTGTGTTGGTTTAAAATGGAAGGACATAACCTCAAATACTAACACAACTAGACGGAACGTTAACCAAATCTGTTTTTAGCAACATGAACAACATTGATAAAAATGCAGGGCACCTCCGTAGCATCAAAGTGCCTCACATCTTCATAGATAAAACAGTGTTTACTTATGGCAAGTGTGAATGTAATAACATTAGTAGAAGCATTAGTCTTGGTAAATTCTGCGTTTAAAATGCATATAAATAAGGATTTGAATTTATTAATTTTGGTCCCAATACAAATCCCTCATTTTCATGTGATGGGCAGATAAATTGTGCCCATAGGAGTAGTTAAGTTCAAATTCCCTGCAGTGGTACATTATAGAACATAAATGTATCCCTTTTACTAAATGACATCTTCAGGACTAGGCCTACCATGAGTCAGAGTGAGGTGGTGGCCTTTGGCGAAGGTTAGTGTCAGGTTTCAGGGAATCCTATCCCTCCTACGGTGGGATGCCAAGAAGCAGATAAACAAGAAGAGTTCTTACCCAGTAGTTTATTCAGTATTTACAGAGAAAGACAAAGGAATGCGGTCTCTCTTAGATAACAGCACACCAGGTAAAGTTCCACCCCCTCAGCCCAGTGCTGGATTTACGTATAAGCTAAACAAGCTATAGTTTAGGGCTCCACTCTCTTGGGGGCCCCCAAAAAAATTAAAGGGGGGAAAACTGTATGTATACTTCCAAAATATAAGATAAAAAACAAATAAAATGAAGAAGTGTGCATGCACACAAAAGCTTATACCTAAAACTACTCAGTTGGTCTCCAAGGTTCTACATTATAATTTTAAAATTCTTTTGGAAGGATTCTTTTAAAGTCTTTCTTAGATCATATAACTTTTTTGAAGACTTGATTCTTTTAAGGGAGTTTTTAGATTTTTTAAGAAGTGTCTTTTTAACTATCTTTTTAAAGAATTTATAAAATTTATTTTGACTAAGGCTGACCAACATGGCTACCTACTTGAATCTAGTAAGATGGCTTTAGATACCTATTAGGTCCATAAATTACTATATAGCATATATTCAACACAAAAAACAGCAACAATTTGTTGCTGACAAAGGACAGCTGGACATATAAAGGGCCCCATTACCTTCAGTAGCTTAGGGCCTCATCAAAACTAAATCTGGCCCTGCCTCAGTCCCTCCTATTCTACATCACCCCTGTGCTGGATGATCTGTGCTTTCTGCCTCTGAGCTTTCTGTTCTACCTCTCTCAATGCATGCCGGGTCCTGCGGGGGGGGGGGTCGGGGGTCAGGAACGCTTTCTAGAGACACTGAGTCTGTTGTCTGTCTCTCCCCGGTGCTTCTTCTTCTTCCTGCTGCTCTCTCAATATTTCCCAGCTTCCCTCTTCTGCAGCCTCTGAACTGTGACCTTCTGCAAACCACTGTTCTAAATCTATACTGTCCTCCTCTTCTCGGGAAGGTGCAGGAAGGGAAGGGGGCAGTCCCCACCATTCCTCCTCAGTCCAGCCCCTGACAGTCAGGGAGCAAACATTAGATGTTGTCCTGTCCTGTGCCCCTCAGTGAGCTAACCTACTGCCTTCAGGTGCAGTAGGAGGTTCTGTCCTGGCAGCAGTGTTGAAGCAAGATTTAACTGCCTGACCAGCATGTGGAATTTAGTAGACTTTGCTGAAAGGCATATTCAAGTGTTGCTGGTCTTGTTCCTACTTGTAAACTGCAAATAGTGGTCTCCATAGATCAGGGCTGGAGAACCTATGAGCTTCCAGATGTTGTTGGACTCCAAGTCTTATTAACCACAGCCAGCATGGTCGGTGGTCAGAAATAACGGAATATCAGGAGAGCCTCAGGTTTCTCATCCTTGTCACATGGGAATGGCATATAAACTGTATAGTACTTTGCATACTGAGGGTTTAATAAAGACAATTAAGCTTCCATATAGAGGTTTACTACTACAGATAGGCTTGGAAGAGATGATCCTTGGGGCCCCTTCAGACTCTACAATTCTATGGTTCTGTGAAATGGAAAACAGCCCTGAGTGCTCACTGGAAGGACAGATCGTGAAGCTGAGGCTCCAATACTTTGGCCTCCTCATGAGAAGAGAAGACTCCCTGGAAAAGACCCTGATGTTGGGAAAGATGGAGGGCACAAGGAGAAGGGGATGACAGAGGACGAGATGGTTGGACAGTGTTCTCGAAGCTACCAGCATGAGTTTGACCAAACTGCGGGAGGCAGTGGAAGACAGGAGTGCCTGGCGTGCTCTGGTCCATGGGGTCACGAAGAGTCAGGCATGGCTAAATGATTAAAAAACAACAACAACATGAAATGGGTGATTTAGATATCACAAATGGGTTGTTGGCAACAAGCTTTTAGAAGCTTCGAGATTTCCTGTGCAATGGGTAAATCTGGGTTAAATGAAATGCAGGGTGGCTTTTCGTTGCCAGTGTTGTTGCGTGAGAGAGGAACAAGCACGAGCAGCACTGATCCCACCATAAACGCCCATCTGGAAACACTTTGCAAGACGCGATGTGATGCGCATTCTCAGAGAAGGGGATTTCCATTCATTAGTCGTCATTTGCAGAAAGTGGCCCTTACAGGAATTCCTGTGAATTTTGCATGACATCTTTAAAAATGATTTAGATGTTGGGAACTCATAGAAAAAGAAGCTGAATGGAAGTGAATGGAAAGTGTATGTTCGAATCCTTTTCTTATGTTGTGCATACTGCTGCCACGAGCTGTTCTAACAGTGAATGATGCAAAAGGAACTAAATACAAGAGATGGCATGTTTATCGACCGTGTTTGTTTTTAAGTAGAACAAACTCTGTTTCCCCTCTCTTCTCTCAATAATGATTCAACGTTTTACCTTTTCTTCCCACATCCTTTTCCTGTTTTTACCCATTCAATCCTTTTTTCCCCTCCGCCTGCCCTGATTGTGCTGGTTTTGGATGGAATCCAGGCTGGGTTTCTCTGCAGAGCTCCAGATGTTTGCAATAATGTATGACTGAAGTGAATGCCAGTGGTAAAAGGATACTTTTTCACAGGAAATAGTTTGCATCTGACACCAACCAATTTCTCTTTGGGGAGAAAAAGAAGACGTTTGCTAGCTGACAGTTATGCAGTAAACAAAAACAAACCAGTGGCAAGATGTTTAGGAGATGTTTCTGTCAATTAAGGTCCTTTTAAAATTAATACACACACATACACAATCCACTGAGAAATTCTCCTACGTGGGCTCCATTGTAATAAAAGGGAACCTTGCACAGCCGCCACTCATTTTAATGCAGCTTGTGTAGATTTTTCCCCATGAATTTGTTCAAAGGCCCACCTAATTCATCATCCTGTTTCCTATAGCAGTGAACCAGCTGCCCTCAGGAAGTCCACAAACAGGAAATAAAGGCAATAGTCCTTTCCTAGTTGCCTCCATCCCAAGAACCATGATCATGCCTGTGAACATAAAGGTTGCAGTTAGTCATTGCTATAAAAATAATAATAATGGTTTCATTTATCTCTTCCTGCTCCCAAGTTACATGCCGTATAGCCTGTGGGTATCTCCAGATTTCATCCTTATTTGCTTGCACATTGGGGAAGCTAGATTATGCCCACTCTTTATTGAACATTCATTCTAATTTGTTTGTGGCAAGTTTATATGACAATGAGCATTCATCCGGATTTGCTTGTGGAGGGGCTATACACTCTCCTGTCAATCGACCTCCAGTCTCACACTTTTTAATGCATTCTCTCATCACTTTCCGAGCTGCAAAAAGTCCAAGTTTTATAAAGTGGAATTTGTGTTGGGTGGGTCACTTTAATCAACCTTAAATGTGCAGACCTACATTTCCAGCACGCAACTTCCAGGTAAGTGTGCAAAGGGTTGCAGGATACATGTACACCCCCCCACACAAATATCTCCTTTGTCAATATCTAAGTACAATAAACAAGTACAATAAAGTTCCAATAAATAAGTGCAAGGCTGTCCCAATACATTTTGGTGCCAAAGGTGGAATAGCAAATTCTTGCCCCTCCCCGCTCCCATTGCATACTACCAAAGGGCTGGCCAAGTTATTTAGCAAGTGAGGCACAAAATCCCTCATGAATTTGTCACCAAAACCAATAATTCAAAAATAATAAATTTAAAAGTAACAAGTTTGCTGATAAATCAAGTGCCAGAGGTGGCTTCCTCACACCACCTAATGGCCATCTCTGAATAAGAGGATTTGGATGGGGCATAAATAGGTACCTGTTGTGTCAACACAAAGCAGGATATTTTGCCAAATTTCCAAGCAGATG